GAACCATATACAAAGTCGTCTGCTATAGTAGTTATCATAAGTCCCATCATCAGACCGTGGACTTGGTACATTTTCAGACGTTTCGCCGGCATCTTCAGTGAGTGCTGCCGTTCTCCGAACCAATCTACGAACTCGTCAAAGAGACAAGTGACGAAAAACGTTCTGCCGAAAACCGTTACACTATCATTCCTCTTTCTGTCCTGGCCTATCTATCTACTCTTTACCCTCTTATCCCATTGTCGCCCTATCACAACTTCTCACTTGTTTACATTCCAATCGTCAAAATGTGTGCCCTTTTGTGGCAAATCTAGTGTAGCATCATCACACCTGGAATCTATATATCTAAGTTATTTAATGAGGTATAAAGTAATTTGGTTAGTTTGTCTGTCTGTGCGTATTTATGTGCCTTCATGTGCTCGCATATGTACCAAACCTTCGATTCCGGTGAATCCAAACACACTGGCTGAAGGGATTCGAGACAGCAAGTAAAATATTATTTTCTAATCCACCTGTATAACAGGATTGCGCCGGAAACAGCGTCAACACGAGTGCTGCACAAGGGCCAATCGACAGCTGGTCAAGAGGAATCCGCTGTCGTCTTCTGCCGGTACCGACCCTGGCATCTCTTCACCAAACACCTTCACGTGAAATGTAAGTAGGCTCAACATTTACAAACAAAGAGATTCTTCCAAAGGCAATTTTTTTCGCACTTTTGTAAAGAGTGAATGATAATCTGGAAACCTATTTATGGTAAATACGATATGTTTGACGCTGTTTTTCAACATGATCGTGTTGTCAGGATGACTTGATGATGAATCCATATCCCAGTCTCTATCCAGTCTAACCGAGATAATGATAAATTTACGAGAAGTCTAGAATGCCGTGTAGCAACCACTTGTCTACAGCAATGAACAAAAGTGGTACTATTTTGCGCTTTCTACCTTCGATTCGCCCCGTGACACCGTCCCCCGCGGATGGTTCCGTTGCCACCAGCGCTGCCCTGGCATCGTTATTCGCTCTCCGGCCATCCGCTCGACTGCCATGAGGCAGGCATTGCAGGCTCTGTCGGACTCTGCCCGACGGCGACAGCCTGTTGGGCATCTTCGAGTCCCTCTTGACTACCCCACTCCGGCATCAAACCGCCTCCCGACGAGCCTGCTGTGCTCAATCTGCCTAGCACTGCGTTGCCAGGCGCTCGACTGTCTGTACCGTCAAGTCGGCCTCCACCGGCGGTCAATATGGCCTCGGCCAACGGATTCTCAGTCTTGTTGGCCCAACCAATCTCCTCCGATAGAGGCGCAGGTACCAATCTCGGTCTCGTCATCTCGTCGATCTTCTCGCACCGACCGACCGGCTTGCCTCGTTCGGTCGCCAGACTGTATCGTCGCGACGGATCGTCTCTCATTCGCTCCAGCCTCACGCCATCCGTGGCCGGACTCATCCTCTGCAATTGGTCCCGCCTCGAGACGCCGGTCTCCAGTCGCGTCTGTACCTGCTCCTCCAGCTTGAGACGACCACTCGCCGTCGACTTGTTGGCCAGCGACACCCGCCGGCCTGACGATGTCTCCTCGGGCGCCTGGCAACTTGGCTTTCGTGACTCGCTCTCCTCCCTCGTGACGAGGCTGCATCTTCCTCCTCGTTGTCCGTGTCCCTTGTTCAGCGTCGCCTTTAGTCGCATTCCCGTTCCGCCTGACGAGTTCTCTCGGCTGCCACTTTCAACAGGCGAAATCGGCCTCGACTTGTCGTCTGGCAAACTCATTCGTCCACCGCAGCCGTCGACAGCCACCGGCGCCAGCGACGTCGTCTCGACCTCTTCATCCTCGATCGAGACAATCATCGCGTCCTCCAGAGAACCTGAGCCCGAGTCCGTCTCTCGCTCGGCTTGGTCTTCTTCCGAGGGCAAGTTTCGAATGAAGAAGATGCGCTCGGTCGTCTTGTCCCTTGACAGGCTCGCGATGCCCGAGGCCGAGTCGCTGGGACTGCTGTCGTCGAGGATGACGCGAAGAGTGCGCTGCTTCTGAAGGGTCACCAGTTCGCCGTCTTTGGGCACCGGCCTTGTTGGGCCGTCCGACTCGACGCTCCAATTGGCCGTTCGAGGCGTGCACGTGGGACCCAGACGCGTCGGGCCGGCCGAACTCGACTGACGGGCCCCGTCCGAGCCGGTGCGACATTGGCTCGTCGAGTTGGCCTCGTCGTTGCTCGACAAGTCGGCACCGAATGTCGCCTCCACTCGGACCAGATCGAGCCGCGACTCGACGACGCCACTGCGGCTCTTCGGCGCCGTTGCAGGCCTCGACTCCTTTGCCTCCGCGAGTGCCTCGCCCGACCGCGTCGAAACCACCAGGTTGAGCTCATCTGCCGGACTGGCGGCGTCAACTGCGTCGTCAGGTGAACATTCTTTGGGTCGCGCGGACTCAGGATGAGGCTGAACCGAGACGACCGACGAGCGAATGCTCGAGTCGTCCTCTTGTCGACACCACATTTCACCCTTGCACGACCTGACAACCGGGCTGGCAACCGGTTTCAGCACAGTTGCCACGCCGTCCGGACAGGCGGGAATAGCTGGACCTG